TAAAAAACGAATTTTCCAATTTTTAAAATGGGCTAAGGATTTGAAGAGACATTTCTCCTTAGAACATATCGAAATGACCAGCAAGCTCGTGAAAAGAAGTGCAACACCATTATCTTTAAAGAAATATCAATCAGAACCATAATGAAATGTCACTTTGCCACAGCCAGGATGGCCCTAATAAAAAAGACAGACAAAGCTGGGCATAGTGGCTTAAGCCTATAATCCCAGCACTTTGGGAGGCAGAGGCAAGAGAATGGCCTGAGCCCGGGGTTTGAGACCAGCCTGGGCAACTTGGCGAGACCTCATTTCTCCAATAAATTTTTAAAAACTAGCTGGGCAGGGTGGCATGTGCCTGTGGTTCCAGCTACTCGTAAGGTTGGGGCAGAAGGATTACCTGAGCCCAGCAGGTCAAAGCTGCGGTGGCCATGAGCATGCCACTGCACTCCAGCCTGGGTGACATGGACCCTTCACACAAGCAAGGACTCAAGGTGTCTCCAAGAATAAATCAAGAAAAAGGAAGATACATCGGCCCCAAATGGAATCCAACACAGGAAAGTGACCCAGAGGACTCCCTGAGCGGCAGCTGTCTGTCAGGGCTGGGGAGCAGCTGGTCCCCAGAGGGAGAAGAAGGACGCGAGCCCAGGCCTGCATGGGGTGGACCCGCCATGGCAAACGGATGGGCGAACAGAGCCACATGCCTGCAGGTGCAGAGAAACCAAGGCCCAGGACGGAGGTGAGGGGGAAAGCCCAAGAGGAAGGACATTCATGTACGCGTAAACCAGTACAATCACCCACATTGTTTGGCTCAGAGACCACCTGGCATAATGTTAGCAATATTTACACTGATGATGGATTGAACGAGAGATTGGGATAGAACTGTGTGGGGAAACAGAGCTTGGGGTATGACACAAGAGACTGACTGTAATGTGCAGCTTGACAGGAAGTAGGAAGGACTACTAGAAAGCCGACATGAAAAGCCTGTCAGTGATAGGACAGCAACGCTGGGGAAGTCACAAGAGACAAGAGTGGCCAGGCAGCCGAGCATGAAATGGTGAGAGATGCAGAGACGACTTTTTTTTTTAGTAATATAGCTATTAAAAATGCACATCTGGCCAGGTTCGGTGGCTCAGTCTGTAATCCCAGCACTTTGGGAGGCCGAGGTGAATGGACTGCCAGAGCCCGCGAGTTCGAGACCCGCCCAGGTAACTTGGTGAGACCTCGTCTCTACAATAAAGCAAAAACTAGCCGGGCGTGGTAGCGCATGCCTGTAGTTCCAGCTCCTTGGAAGGCTGGGACAGAAGGATCGCTGGAGTCCAGCAGGTCGAGGCTGCGGTGGCCGGGAGCGTGTCACTGCACTCCAGTCTAGGTGACTGAGTGACACTCCAACTCAAAAACAAATTTTAAAAAAAATGAATATCTGTTATGTTTATAATATTTTAAAAATTTTTACTTTATTTATTTATTTTATTATTATTTTTTTTTTTTTAGTTGGAGTCTCATTCTGTCACCAGGCTGGAGTGCAGTGGCCGCCTCCGGCCACCGCGGCCTCGACCTGCTGGGCTCCGGCGATCCTTCTGCCTCAGCCTTCCGAGTAGCCAGAATTACAGGCATGTGCTACCACACCCGGCTCATTTTTTATTTATTGTAGAGATGAGGTCTCACCAAGTTGCCCAGGCGGGTCTCGAACCCGCAGGCTCAGGCAATCCACTCACCTCAGCCTCCCAAAGTGCGGGATTACAGGCTGAGCCACTGAGCCCAGCTCTTTTTTTTTTTAAACAGGATTTATTGATAGGACAGAAAAGCTCCCACAGTGGGAGGGGACTCAAAGGGGTTGCCTGGAATATATTTATTCTAAGGAAAAGAGCTCTTGATTTCAGTAAATGGCTCTTTGCTCTAAAAAATAATTTTAAGCAAAATAGCCAGGCACGGTGTCTCATCCCAGCACTTTGGGAGGCGGAGACAAGAGGAATGCCTGGGCCCGGGGGTTCGAGACCAGCATGGGCAACTTGGTGAGACTTCGTCTCTACAATAAATCAAAACTTAGCTGGGCATGGTAGCGCACGCCTGTAGTTCCAGCTACTCGGAAGGCTGAGGCGGAAGGATCGCCGGAGCCCAGCAGGTTGAGGATGCGGTGGCCAGGAGCGTGCCACTGCGCTCTAGTATGGGTGACAGAGTGAGACTTCAACTCAAAAAGAAAACATAATAAAAATAACAGAAACCAAAAAACATCAAGTGCTAGATCTGGGAGTGGTTAGGCAAGGCTGGTCATGGAGGGCTTCCTGGGGAGGCGTCTAAGCCAGTTTTGGAAGAAGTTGAAGAATATGGGGACACTCTGGCAAAGTGACAACCAGAAAAGTCACGGTAAGCTGACACAAGCTCCCTGTATGTGGCCCTCACGGAAGGAGCCAGGCCTTCCTCATGGAGCTCTCATGTGCACCTGGTGAGCAGGTGGTATGCACCTGTGGTTCTAGCTACCTGGGAGGCTGAGACGGAAGGATCGCCTGAGTCCAGCAGGTCGAGGCTGCGGTAGCCATGAGCGAGCCACTGCACTACAATCTGGGCAACAGTGAGATTCAAACTCAAAAAACAAAACAAAACAAAAACAGAAGGAAATAAACACCCCAAATCCAAAACCCGTCAGGTCCCAGGCATTTGGAGTTAAGGGCACTAAGCCTGGGTCGGAGATGAAGGACTTTCTTTTCACAGCACAGCAAGCACACGAACATCAACTTGTCTGCATCAGCCCCTCCTTGTCCCCAAGTCCTATGGGAGCAATGTGGGCCCCAGAGGGATTTTGCTGAGGCACTGAGCTCAGAGAACCCACCGCTTCCAAAGCAAGCCGTGAGCAAATGTGCTGTCAGTCCTGGAGAGATCTGATCTTATCCCGGCAGTCGCTTCCTGCACACTGAGAACTGGCCCTGGTAAAGAGCAGTGTCTCACCTTCTGGCCCACCCGGCAAGGTGTGCAAGAGTTTGGGAGGACCTTTCTTTTTTGTTCTGAGTTGGGAGTGGGGGATCTCACTCTATTGCCCAGGCAGGAGTACAGTGGCGTGATCACAGCTCACTGCAGTCTTGAACTCCTGGACTAAGGTAATCCTTCCACCTCAGCCTCCCAAGTACCTGGGGTTACATGCATGTGCCACAATGCCTGGCTAATTTTTAAATTTTTGTTGTTGTAGAGATGAGATCTCACTATGTTGCCTAGACTGGTCTCGAACTTCTGGACTCAAGCAATCCTCCTGTCCTGGCCTTCCAAAGTGCTGCGACTATAGGCATTTGGTCTAGGACCTTCTTAACAACATCTCTACAGGGCAATTTGGCAATGACATTTGCAAATACACTTAACTTTTGACCTAGGATTCCACCTCCAGAAATTTGCGCTATATAAATACTTTCACATACACAAAACAATGGCTATAAAAAGTTATTTATTCTTTTTTTTTTTTTTTTTTTTGAGTTGGAGTCTCACTCTGTCACCCAGACTGGAGTGCAGTGGACACTCCCGGCCGCCGCAGCCTCAATCTGCTGGGCTCAGGTGATCCTTCCACCTCACTATCCCAAATAGCTGGGACTGTAAGCACATGCCACCACATCTGGCTCATTTTGTAATTTATTGTAGAGACGAGGTTCTCACCACATTGCCCAAGCTGGTCTCAAACCCCTGGGCTCAGGAAATCCTCTCACCTCCGCCTCCCGAAGTGTGGGGAAGACAGGCGTGAGCCGTCATGCTCGGTTACCACCAACCATTTTACATGAAAAGTCAGGAGTGTGCAGGGAAATTCGTTCCTGTCTATGATGTGTCTCATCACCACCAGATACACCTGCTGTTCCCCTTAAACCTCGCACCGGCCCTAAGGGGACAGACTTTGTTCCCATTTTGCAGAAAAGTTGGTCACAGATGGCAGAAAGCCCAGCTTCCCACACCCCAGACCCCTCCTGCCACAGCCCCGCCCACCGGGAGCCTCTTCCCCCCCCCCCGCCCTTCCTCCCCCCTCCATGACTGTGGCTCGGCCGGCAGTTGGCAACCCTGGGTGCATCTGAGACCCTGGCGAAGCATCTGGAGGGGAGCGGGCGGGGGCTTGACAGGCCAATAACAGCAAGAACTTACAAATGCCAGTGAGACACGACACCAACTGCAGGCTTTGGAGTCAACATTTTAATAATAAATTGTGCCAGTAGAAGCTTCTCAAAGGCAATGATATATCAATAAATAATAGATTGAGTTCCTGAGAAAGAACCTACCACATGAAAGCATGTCAGAGCGCTGTAAGTAACAACATGGCATGACTCTAAAATGGCGGCAGCACTGACAGTCACGGTCACAAGCACAGCAGACCTCAGATATGCCACTCACACACGTAAACCAGCACACAGGAGTCTTCTTTTTGGAGTTTAGACAGGGATACACTTCTAAGAGTTGTTGCCTAGAGAGATACTAAGTAACGGATACATTATGCTAAGAACTTCAAGGAAGAGATGTGGAATAATAGCTTCCACATCTATAATGCAAAGGATGATGCATCAGGATTCTTAAAAAGCGGAAAGGAACTGAGCTTTTTACTCAAATAGGAATCACCTTAAACAGGAATCGTACTGATTGGAAATAAGGCATATTTTGTGTGTTTTTCTAAGTAGTGTGTGTGTGTGTGTGTGTGTGTGTACACACACACATCTATACATCTAAGAAAATATGTATGGCTTACTTATTTTTTATTCCAATGTCACTGTGGAAAAATCTGCATTTTTAAAAAATGTTAGAAAGATGGACTGTTTAAACCAAGCTAAGTTTGGACACTTCAAAGCACATGACACACACCTGAAGCCCCCCAGCTCATTCCATTTCATGATGGCAACATGTCGGTAACAGGAGACACAGCGTTCCCAGGGCCCGGCAGTGTGGGAATCCATCGGCGGAAGTCTTGGGTGGGTCGGAGCTATAGAATTCCACCCCCCAACTATGTCAAGCACAAGAGACACCCACCAGAGAGAAGGACACATGTCCAGGATAAAATGACATTTTTTGGCATAGCTAAATTAATCCCTTTTGATGTATACAAGTTTAGTATATGATACATGCTTACACTTACCCCCCCTAAGAATCCAATCATACCCAAGACACACATTAAAAAAAAAAAAAAATCACTTCTCAGTTACACATCTGCGTTTCTTTAACAAAACAATAAGGGCCACAGTCGCAGCGAAGTCACCCACGCGGGACAGTGTCAACACACTGTCTAGAACACTCATGTAGAGACACTCGGCAAAAACGTATTCACAGGACCTGCTGTGAATGGCAAGATACGGGAGTTTTATAATAGAAACCTGCTCGTCTGAACTCTCACCCACGCCGCCACTGTGCGCACATGTCCCACTATCCTAGAGTATGCAAAAAGCCAAAAAAAAAAAAAGCAGCTTTGAACATGATATCACAATGTTGAAATGTGGAGGAAAAAACACAAAGCAAAACCGTCATGTGGATCACATGGCCTCCGTGACACCAAGCAGAGCGCGATCTTCTTGTCTCTTTCACTATTGCACAGAGATCTCTCAGCACGCGTCCTTCCGTCTCCATGTCTTCTCCTCAACGTGAATAAGTGCTCTGGGTGAAAAATACAAATGTAGAAAACAGCAGCAGCACGATTTGTCAGAGTTAATCCCTATAATTTAGTAAGAAAAAAATGGATATAAACAAAATAAGTGCTCTCCCTAAACTGGACTACATTGTAAAAAAGAGTGTTTGAATGCGGAAGGTCCTTGGAAGCCAATTGGAAGCAGTGCTGGGTCCTTTCCAGAAAAGTTTCTGGCATGTTTTGGGTTTCCTTGGCGAAGACCAGGGTTTCAAGTGACGTCGCCAGGGACGAGCCCAGAACGGAGCAGGCCCCGGCTTCCCGGGACGCGGGCGGCGGGTGGGCGGTATCTACACATACACCGGCTGGCAGCCTTCGGCCTGCGCCCCCAGCTCGGAGTCTTCTATGTCGGGGTTCTCCGCCGGCGAGGCCTCAGCGCCCATGGGCTTGGGGCACCGGAATGGGTAGCCGTTGTCATCGAAGAAGCGGCGGAAGGTGAACTCGTAGAAGGCGTGCTCGGGGTGCCTGCCGCCCGGGGAAGTCAGCGTGTCCCAGGCCTTGGTGCTGCCTTCGCTCCCGCCATTCCAGAGGCTGTCCTCGTCCACGGGGTCGAAGTTCGAGGTGTCCATGGGGTGGCTGATGGTGGGCACGTAGGGGGCGGGCTGCTTCCGGAGGTCGCCGGAGAAGTCGATGGTGCCGAAGAACGGGTGGGCCTTCAGGTCATCCGCCCCGTCCCGCCCCAGCCGGTGGTCAGCGGCGCAGCACAGCTTGGTGATGAGGTCGCGGGCCTCGGGGCTCAGCTTGACCTGGGTGGGGATGTGGAGCGTGCTCTCCCAGTTGATGACCTGAAGGGACACAAAAGCTCGACTCAGCCTCCCCTTGGCCCCGTGGCCCACCTGGGCCAGAGCTGGGGGCTCGGGGCAGGCTGACGCTCAGTGATTAGAGTCACAGCAGGAGGGGAGACACCAGCAGCAGCTGTTGATCTGAGGACCCAGAGACAGTTGGGGGGGCTTCAGGAGGTGACTCACAGCCTGAGACACGGGAGGGAGAAGCCAAACACAGACAGAAGGATACCCCAAGTGCAGGGGGTCACGCTTGTCATCCCAGCACTTTGGGAGGCCAAGGCAGGAGGACTGCCTGAGCCCAGGGGTTCAAGACCAGTCTGGGTGGTCTGACAAGGCCTCATCTCTACAATAAATCAAAAAATTAGCCAGGCGCGGTGGTGCACGCCAGTAGTTCCAGCTACTTGGAAGGCTGAGGTAGAAGGATTGCTTAAGCCCTGCAGGTCGAGGCTGTGGTAGCTGTGAGCGTGCCACTGCACGCCAGCCTGAATGAGACTGTGACTCAAAAAAAAAAAAAGATAGTGATTTGCTTCTAGCAAAAATACCGTTTTGGCTGAGTATGGGGGCTCACAGTTGTAACCCCAACACTTTGGGAGGCTAGGGCAGGAGGATTGCTTGAGCCCAGGAGTTTGAGACCAGGGCAGTATGGTGAGACCCTGTCTCTAAAAGTTTTTCGGTTTAAAGAAGTACTGTTAGCCGGGCTCGGTGGCTCAGCCTGTAATCCCGCGCCTTTGGGAGGTTGAGGTGAGTGGACTGCCTGAGCCTGAGGGTTCGAGACCCGCCTGGGCAACTTGGGGAGACCTCATTTCTACAGTAAATCAAAAATTAGCCGGGCGTAGTAGCGTGCACCTATAGTTCCAGCTACTTGGAAGGATCGCCGGAGCCCAGCAGGTCGAGGCTGCGGTGGCTGGAAGCGGTCACTGCCCTCCAGTCTGGGCGACAGAGTGAGACTCCAACTCAAAAAAAACAAAAAAACAAAACAAAAAAAAGAAGTACTGTTTAGCAAAAGAATCTTGTACTTTCCACAAAGGTGAAGAGTTTGATGGTGTAGGGATCCTTTCTTTAGACACAGCAGTGGGCTTCTACTGAACCATCACAGCTCTTGCTCAATACTTACTGTGGCTGAGGTGGTCAACTGGGGTTTTAGGTTAAAAAAAAAAAAAGTAAACTCACAGAGAATAAAGTCGACTGACCCCACAGCCTTGGCCTCACGTGCCCAGGCACGAGTCAGCTAACTGGTTGTTTAGTCAACACACATATCAGAGAGATGCATCTACCATGAAGAGAAAGCCAGGGGACTTTGTTGTTTACACTCAGGATCAGGAAGTAGATCCTGGCCTTCACAATGACCAGCTCCAGCTGGGGTGACAGGAATGGGGAAGGTATGGAAGTGGGCAGGCATGTAGGGGGAGGACTGGCTTGAACACGAGTCATTTTCATAGACTAAAACTGCAAAACTCCTAGAAGAAAACACGGGGAACTCTTCATGACATGGGTAACTCTGGGTCTGGCAGTGATGGCTTTTGGCCATCACACAGACGAGAGAAAAAATAAATCTGACCTCAGGAAAATTAAGATCTTCAGTGCATCACAGGACATCAGCAGCAGAGTGAAAAGGGTATTTCAAAGCATATATTTGAAAGGGGTTAATAACCAGAATATATAAAGAATTCCTACAACTCAACAACAAAATGACTTTAAGAAAGGTGAAAGATTTGAATAGACATTTCCCCCCAAAATATATACAAATGGCCAATAAGCACATGAAAATATGCTCAATATGTGGAGGGACCCCCCCTAAAATAGAGTTTATTCATAAAAACTTGTGTAACTTTTTAAGACTAATGTGTTTCAATTTTAGTCACCTTCAAAGCACTTTTTGTTTAATGCAATATACCCATCGAGATGCTTTTCCCACTGCTCAAAACAGTTTTTGAACTTATCCATTTTGATGCCTTTTAGTGCTTCTGGCATTTTTTGTTTCACCCCTTCCACGTCGGCAAAACAGTTCCCTTTGAGGACTTTTTCATTGGGGAAACAAAAGAAGTTGCTCAGGGAGAGACTGGGTGAATAGGGAGAGCAGGGTACAGGGGTCATGCCATGTTTGGTCAAAAACTGCTGAACATTCTGCATAGTATGGGCAGGTGCGTCGTCATGATGGAAGAACCAGCCGCCTCTTTTTCTTTTTTCTTTTTTTTTGAGTTGGAGTCTCACTCTGTCGCCCAGACTGGAGTGCAGTGGCTGCTCCCGGCCACCACAGCCTTGACCCGCTGGGCTCCGGCAATCCTTCCGCCTCAGCCTTCCGAGTAGCCGGAACTACAGGCGTGCGCAACCACACCTGGTTGATTTTTTGATTTATTATAGAGATGAGGGCTCGCCAAGTTGCCCAGGCGGGTCTCAAACCCGTGGGCTCAGGCAATCCACTCACCTCAACCTCCTAAAGGGGCGGGATTACAGGCTGAGTCACTGAGCCCGGCTAAGTCGCCTATTTTTCACAACTCAGGATGTTTCTTTTGCAAACTGTGACACAACCTTCTCAAAACTTCCAGATAAAAACTTTGGTTTTCCATTTGATCTAGAGGAACAAATTCTGAGTGCACTACAAGGGCTGGCCCTCCAAAAGATAATTCCGGTTTTTTTTCAGGGGGAGGTCTCCCTCTTATCACTAATCATCAGGGAAATACAAATAAAAACTACAATGGCATACCACCTTACACCTACTAGGATGGCTCAGAAAAAAAAGGAAGTAACAAGTGTTGGCAAGAATGTGGAGGAACTGGAATCCTGCACACTGCTTGTGGGAACGGGAAATGGAAAACAGCTTAGTAGTTCTGGGAGTTCCTCAAAAAAGCTAAACATAGAACGTCCCTCGGTTCCAGCAATCGCTTTGGGTATACATCCAAAATAACTAAAAGGAAGGACTTGAGCAGACAGACACATGCATACCACGGTCACAGCGGCCAAAAGGTGGGCACAACCCAGATGCCCATCAATGGTTGAGTGAAAAAAACCAAACATAGTGCACACAAGCTGTGAACCGCCAGCTATTCAGCCTCGACACGAAGGCAATCCCGACACGCGCCACCACACGGAGGCGCCTCGAAGACACTGCTGAGTGACAGGAGCCAGTCGCAGAAGGACAAATGTTGGGGGATGCTACTTGCACGAGGCAGCCAGAGCAATCAAACAGCCAGAGCAGTCAAGCTCCCAGAGACAGGAAGCAGAGCGGAAGTCAGCAGGGCCAGGGAGGGAGATTGGGGAGTTACTGTTTAGTGGGGACAGAGTTAGTTAGGGATGAGGAAAACATTTGCAAACAGAGAGGGGCCGTGGTCCCACAACTTGTGAGTAGACTTAATACCACTGAATTACACACTTGCAATGGTTAGAATGGTACATTTTATATTATGTAACACTGTACCAAAATTTTAAAAGTTGGATTATCATCATGCAGCCAAATTAGTGAGGGGTTTGGCAATGTAATTAGGATGCAGATGACACGAAATTCCAACTTTATTGCTCCTAAGCTCTCCTTCAGGGTTTTTCTAACTAAAGAGTTATTCTGGGCCAGACACGGTGGCTTAAGTCTGTAATCCCAGCACTATGGGAGGCCAAGGCGAGAGGATTGCTTGATCTCAGGGGTTCGAGATCAGCCTGGGCATGGGGAGACCTTGTCTCTACAATAAATAGAAAAATTAGCTGGGCATGGTAGCTTGCGCCTACAGTTCTAGCTACTTGGAAAGCTGAGGTGGAAGGAACACCGGAGCCCAGCAGGTCAAGGCTGCAGTGGCCATGAGACTGGACAACAGAGTGAGACTCCAACTCAAAAAAAAAAAAGATTTATTCACTCAGTCTCCACACGGACTCCAGGGCATGGGAAACCCACCTAGACTTGTGTGTCAGCTGGTATGTCCCGGAAAGATTTCAGATTCTCAACACAATCCTTCAGTAACTAAGCGATCCATTTCAGAAAGCGAAGGGCTGTTATTTGAAAACTAACTGAATACCAGAAATATGCCCAGCCAGCCTGACTACATGGCTGACGATCTGAAAACAATGATGACTTAACATCCAAGAAGTGAGCAGACGGCTCTCAGTGTATGGCCAGCCCTCGGACACAGCATGGACCACGCGGGTCCAGCTTACTCCCTTCTTTTTCCAACTCTGCCGCCCCGAGACGGCCCAGTCAGGCCCCCGTCTCCCTCCCATCCTGAAGAGGACAAGGATGAAGACTTTTACAATGATCCACATCCACCTTGCAAATAGTCAATCTACCTTCTCTTCCATACGATTCTCCTAACACTTTCCTTTCTAGCTCCGCAGAGCAAGGATATAGCGTAGAACATACACGACACGCAGAGTAGGTATCCACCAACCGTGGAAGCCACAGGTAATGCTTCTGGTCAACAGCAGGCTATCCCTTGGGATGCTTCTGGGGCATCAGGGTTACACAGGTTTCTGACTGCTCAGGGTCAGAATCCCTAATGGTGTCCAAGGGTCAACTGTAGTCTGCAGAGTTTTGTCTGTTCTCTGCAGGTGGACACGGGTGGTGGTGGGGAGGGGATCCCAGCTCGCCTTTACTGCTTCTCACTGTAGTTCTTATAGGAAACTAACAAGATGGCAGGTGGCCAACTGCTGAAAGAAAATTTATTTCAAATACACATGTAAATACTCAAGTTCAACTCCATGGCTTCCCTTATCAAAATAAAAACATTTAAAGTAGACAATAACAATAATAAAATAATGAGCAGCTGGGCACGGTGGCTCACGCCTGTAATCCCAGCACTTTGGGAGGCCAAGAAAGGAGGCTCACTTGACCCCAGGAGGTCAAGACCAGCCAGGGCAACATAGCGAGACCTCAACTCTACAAAAAAACTTAAAAATTAGCTGGGCATGGTGGCACGTGCCTGTAGTCCCAGCTTCTCAGGAAGCTGAGGCAGGATTGCCAGAGCCCAGTAGATAGAGGCTGCAATAAGCTGTGAGTGTGCCACTGCACTCTAGCCTGGGCAACAGTGAGACCCCACCTCAATAAAATAAAACAAAGTAAAACAAAGACACTGCTTTCAAAAATCACATCATATACAACTCCCATTTCTCTGCTACTCAGAATAAGAGGCCAAACGCTGACCCAGGATTCACAGGCGAATGACAAAGGCAGGCATGTCTGCAATGGGTCCCGCCCCCTCATTACCTTCAGCTGGGTTTCCGTGGGAGTGGGCGCCAGGAAGGGTGGCTGCCCCACCAGCATCTCAAAGAGGATCACACCAACACTCCACCAGTCACACAGCTGCGTGTACCCTGCAAGAGAGCGTCACTCAGTCCTGACATGGCCTGGCTTCCAGGGGGCCATTCACCAGACACAGCAGCGGGGATTGCTGGTGCATGGGGAAGCATGTCCCGTGCCACATGGCGCCACCTTGAGTGGCTTGGAATGGCGGGAAAGGGCCATGCCAGGGTGCCAACAAGTCGGCAGGGGCCATGGCTACTTCTGTTTCCATGTTTTCAATCATTAATCCGTGATAAATACAGGATGCTTTTGTAGTAAGAAAAAAGTCTTTTATTGTTAACTACTAGTTGGTACCAGTCACTAACCAGAATTTTTAAGTTCTTAAAGATCACACAAAGAGGCCGGCCTAATGGCTCAGCCTGCAATCCCAGCACTTTGGGAGGCCGAGGCGAGTGGACTGCCTGAGCCCGCAGGTTCAAGAGCAGACGCGGCAACTTGGCGAGACCTTGTCTCTACAATAAATCAAAAATTAGCCAGGTGTGGTAGCAGGCGTCTGTAGTTCTGGCTGAGGCAGAAGGATCGCCAGAGCCCAGCAGGTCAACGTTGGGGTGGCCATGAGTATACCACTGCACTCCAGCTTGGGCGACAGAGTGAGACTCCAACTCGAAAAGAAAAAAAGATCACACAGAGAGGCACAAACTAAAATAACAGAAACCAAAAAAACATCAAGTGCTAGATCTGGGAGTGGTTAGGCGAGGCTGGTCATGGAGGGCTTCCTGGGGAGGTGTCTAAGCCCATTTTGGAAGAAGTTGAAGAATATGGAGACAGGGGTGGCAGGGGGACACTCTGGCAAAGTGACAAGCAGACAAGTCACGGTAAGCTGAGGCAAGCTCCCTGTAGGTGGCCCTCACGGAAGGAGCCAGGCCTTTCTCATGGAGGAAGCTGCAGAGGAGGCTCACTTGCTCTCACTTCTACTTTTCTTCAGAGTCCCACGGCCCAGTCAAGCCAGATTCATCTCTTTTTGAATTTTCTGTAGAGATAAGGACTCACTACGCTGCCCTGGTTGGTCCTGAACTCCTGCACTCAAGCGACCTTCTCACCTCGGCCTCCTGAGTAGCTGGGACGACAGGTGTGAGCCACCACCCTGACCTCCAGGCTTGTCTTGGTATCGCCTGATCTTTGCTAAGTGTAAGCCACAAGAGGTCAGTCCGTGGGTGACCATGGGGCCTGTGCCAGGTTCTGGTCTCTCTCCAGCCCACCTCCGCCTGCCCTGGTTTGACACTGGGGGTCTGCACAGCCCGACCACAGGCTCCCCCAGCATGGAGCACCGAGGCTTGGCCACAGCCTCTCAGGTCGTTACCATTGTCAGGGTGGGGTTGAGGGGTTGAGGAACAGGCCTTGGATACCACACCAACAGAGTTAACTGGGCTTGAACGGGACCGGCTGGCTCCACAGACATAAACACCACATATGCAACGGCAGGGGCTGCCTGGGTCTGGATTTATTTTTATCTTATTTCTTTCTTCATTTTTGAATCAGAGTCTCACTCTGTCAACCAGGCTGGAGTGCAGTGACACAGTCATGGCTACTGCAGCCTCAACCTGCTGGACTCAGGTGATCCTTCTGCCTCAGTCTTCCAAGTAGCTGGAACTACAGGTGTGTGCCACCGCACCCAGCTAATTTTTTTATTTATTGTAGAGACAAGGTCTCCCCAAGTTGTCCAGGCTGGTCTTGAACCCCTGGGCTCAGGCAGTCCTCTCGCCTCCGCCTCCCAAAGTGCTGGGATTATAGGCGTGAGTCACCGCGCCTGGCCTGTGTCTGGATTTCTTATACTACCTCAGGTCAATACCCCACGGGCACTCTGGGCCATGCTAGCCAGATGCTCTCCTGGACGGAACAGAATGCCCATCCAGGAGACAACTTTTACTGAGCACTGGCCATTTTAATCCCACTACTGTCTGTAAATTTTACCTTCAAGGCACTCTGGTCTAGCAGGGAGAAATGGAAGAAAACAGTATTTGTGGGCGGTCTGTCAGTGCCCAGCAGGACTCAGTGCCCTCGGTGGGGGACCTGGCAAGGAATGTCTGGTCTGGACAGAATGAGGAGCCGTCCTGTGCCCCTGCAGTGGTTTCTGGCATTTGACTCTGTTGAATCTGGTTTTACAATCATTCCCAGAGCCACAAGGTGAGCCAACAGTGGCCCGAGGGTGTGTGTCTCCACCCCCAGAAGAGAAGTCAGATATGCTGGAGGCTTGTGTATTTAGGAAATAACTAGCTCTCAGGCTTTCATGAGGACAAAAATACGACGAGGCTGGGCGCAGTGGCTCACACACATAATCCCAGCAATTCGGGAGGCCGAGGCAGGAGGACTGCTTGAGCCCAGGAGATAGAGAGCAGCCTGGACAACATAACAAGATCTTGTCTCTATAATAAATAAAGAAATTGGCCAGGTGTGGTGGCATGCACCTATAGTCCCAGCTACTTGGGAGGCTGAGGCAGGACTGCTTGAGCCCAGAAGTTTGAGACCAGCCTGGGCAACATAGCGAGACCCCCGTCTCTACAAAAAAAATTTTTTTTAATTAGCCAGGTGTGGTGGCGCACACCTGTAGTCCCAGCTACTCGGGAGGCTGAGGCAGGAGGGTCACCTGAGCCCAGGAGGTCGAGGCTGCGGTGAGCCATCATTGTGCCACTACTCTCAGTCTGCGTGACAGAGTGAGACCCTGACTCCAAAAAAACCAAAAAGCATGACTAAAATACGAAAACATCCTGGACAGCCAGAGAGATTCGTAGAGGCCACCTGGCTCTGCTGGCCCGAGGGAGAAGGCCGCCTCTGCCGGGCACTGTCCATGCCACACGTACCTTTGCGAAGGAGCACCTCGGGCGCAATGTAGTTGGGCGTCCCCACCAGGGAGTGGGCCAGGCAGCGCTGGTGCTTCCGCGCCCTCTGTTCCAGGGTCTTCAGCCGGTCTCCGCAGCGACAGTTCGACACGTTGTCCCAGGGGTCACCAGGCTCCATGCTGTCCTGCCGGACGTGGTTCCCTGCACCCAAGAGTCGGGGGCAAAGGAAAAGAGCAGAACACAGAGTGGACGTCATCATTCGATGGCACGACCCACCCACAGCTGAAAACAGAGAAGTCCATCAAATCAGCTCCTGGTACATTTAGACAAGGAGCCTCCCGGCCACAGCAGTGGCTGTGCCTGGCCCAAGACACGAGGCATGAGGTCAGCACCGGCACCAAGGCAGGAAGGCAGGAACAACAGCCGAGGCAGGAAACCATCCCGTGCTGAGCCTGCCACGAAGCCCTGCAGGTGGGAGAGGCTGGAGGAGCGGCAGGGACGCAGGCTAGACCCAGTGGTGGACACCTGCCAGCGGGCAAGGTAAATGAAGGAGGGTCTCAAAAACACAAGCAAAAGTGACTTCGATGCCGGAAAATGGAAATGAGTTAAATGACTCAGGGCTAGTTTTGAGTAAAAAATAAATAAAGACTGAGCTGTGATAGTAAAATGACAATTTTAAGAATCCAGGCCCTCCATATGATAATAATCAGCATTTTCTGACTTTTCCAAATAGCAGAACTACAAAAAATGGAGTTAAGCGATGCATGAGATGCTGGTCAGTTGTAAGAAAGGACTCCTCCCGCCAAGTGTGGTGGCTCACGCCTACAATCTCAGCACTTTGGGAGGCAGAGGTGAGAGGATTGCCTGAGCTCAGGGGTTCGAGACCAGCCTGGACAATTTGATGAGACCTCGCCTCTACAATAAATAAAAAACTAGCTGGGCACGGTAGCACATGCCTGTAGTTTCAGCTACTTGTAAGGCTAAAGTAGACCTTGGAAGCCTGAGCCCAGCAGGTTGAGGCTGTGGTGGCCGTGACATGCCACTACACTCCAGCCTGAGTGACAGAGTGAGACTCTGACTCAAAAATAAAACTCCTGGGGAGGCGGGAGTCTTTTATTAAGTCTGTTTAAAAAGGCACTGACGAGCTTGGCACAGTGGCTCATGCCTGTAATCCCAGCACTTTGAGAGGCAGAGGCAGGAGGACTGCCTGAGTAAGGGGTTCGAGACAAGCCTGGGCAACTTGGCAAGACATCGCCTCTACAATAAATAAAATAATTAGCTGGACATGGTGGCACGTCTATAGTTCCAGCTACTTGGCAGGCTGAAGCAGCAGGATCACCTGAGCCCAGCAATCTAGGCTGCGGTGACCATAAGCGTGCCACTGCACTCCAGCCTAGGGGAAAGAGTGAGACTCTCACTCAAGAAAATAAAACAGGAAGGACTCTTGGGGAGGTGGGAGTCTTTTATTTTTTTAAGGCTGTTTAACAGGGCAGTAATGGTACCTCACAAGGGTCTTGTGATGCATTATAGCCAAAAAAGAGTAAAAAACCCACCAACTTAGAAAAGAAGCAAGTCAGGCGCAGTGGTTCACACCTGCAATCCCAGCACTTTGGGAGACTGAGGCAAGAGGACTACCTGAGCACACGGGTTTGAAACCAGCCTGGGCAATGTGGTGAGACCTCATCTCCACAATAAATGAAAAAATTATCCAGGTGTGGTAGCACGTGCCTGTAGTTCCAGTTACTTGGAAAGCTGAGATGGTAGGATCACCTGAACCCAGCAGATTGTGACTGCGGTAGCCATGAGCGTGCCACTGTACTCCAGCCTGGGTCACAGAGAGACTCTCACTAAAAAAAAAGGGGGGATGGGGGCTGGGCTCAGCCTGTAATCCCAGCACTTTGGGAGGCTGAGGAGAGAGAACTGCCGGAGCCCGCGGGTTTGAGACCAGCCCGGGCAACTTGGCGAGATCTCATCTCGAAAATAATGAAAAAAATTAGCCGGGCATGGTTGCATGCACCTGTAGTTCCAGCTACTTGGAAGGCTGAGGCGGAAGGATCGCCAGAGCCCGGAAGGTCGACGCTAGAGTGGCTGTGAGCCTGCATGCCACTGCACTCCAGCCCGGGTGGAGTGAGACTCCAACTCAAAAAACAAAAACAAAAAGAAGAAGAAGAAGAAGAAGCATTTCCCACACACCATGCCACTCCTTCCAGGAGGGAAGGATGTCACATCAAGTATAAAGCGACAGAGTGAGAGAACATCAAGTGATCAGAGGCCGACGGTCCTCGGCCTGAGTGTGGGAGAGGCCACGGCAGCAAAGACGGTACCTTTCTGGTAGTACTTGGAGTTGTGAGTCCACCTGAACCCCGTGCAGAGGCCGAAGTCCGTGAGCTTGATGTGGCCATCCAGGTCGATGAGGATGTTGTCGGGCTTGATGTCGCGGTGGATGAAGCCCATGCGGTGGACGCTCTCGATGGCCAGGGTCAGCTCTGCAATGTAGAAGCGGGCCAGGTGCTCGGGGAAGACCTCCATGCGGATCAGCAGACTCATCATGTCGCCCCCGGGGATGTAGTCCATCACAAAGTACAGGCTGTCCTTGTCCTGGAACGAGTAGTAGAGCTTAACCACCCACTCGTTGTCGGCCTCGGCCAGGATGTCCCGCTCGGCCTTGACATGGGCCACCTGGTTCCGGTTCAGCACGTCCTTCTTCCGCAGCGTCTTCATGGCGTACAGGGCATGCGTGTCCACCTTACATGCGAGGCACACCTCCCCGAAGGCGCCGATGCCCAGCGTCTTGATCTTCACGAACATGGACTTGTCCATCTTGGCCCTCTTGAGCCGGTTGTAGTTGGACTCCTTTTGGTAAAGAATCTTCCTCATCTGCTCCTGCTCGGCCTCACAGAGCCCAGCCTGCAGGGATGGAAGAGGGGAAGGCGTCACCTCAGAGGGGTCCCGTGATAGCAAGTGACTTAACTTGCACAGGGCAAATACAGAAGAGTGGGCCTGATGCAGTACGAGCAAGATCACACCGGCTTTGTTCTATATATCCTACGTAGACACAAATCTGGAATCAGAGGTAAAACAAACTAGAGAGTTCACAAAAATCTGCAGGGGAGGACTGTAGGAGCTTCAAGAGCAATCTAGCCTAACACCTCAAAGCACAGGCAACAACAACAAAAAAACAGACAAAGGAGACTGCATTCAACTAGAAAGCTTCCACATGGCAAAAGAACAATCAAATGGATGGGAGAGACAACCTGTAAAATGGAGAAGCATCCCACACGATCCATCTGATGAGGAACTAATATGTAGAATACAGAAGGAACTCAACCCAGCAGGAGAACAAATCGCATTAAAAAGGAGGCAAAGAACCAGAACAGACATTTCTCCAAAGAAGATGTGAAGACATACAGATGGCCAACAGGCTCATGACTCCAGCATCATCAGGGAAAGGCAAGCCAGTCAGAACTAGATGCCACCTCACCACAGCTAGAATCAAAAAGACAAACAAACAAACAGGCACTGGCAAGGATGCAGAGAAGAGGAGACTCTTACACAGTTGCTGGGAATGTGAATTAGCACAGATGTTAAGGAAACAGAATCAAGCGTTCCCAAAAACCTGAAGACAGAACTGCCATACAGTCCATCAATCCCAGCACTGGGAATTCATCCAAAGGAAATCAGTGTATCAACAGGATACCAGGATTTTCATGTCTACTGCAGCCCTATTCCCAACAGCAATGATACTGAATCAACCTACGCGTCACCAGGTGAGCAGATAGAGAAAACGTGGGATGTACCTGTGTGTGTGTGTGTGTGTATAAATTACTATCTAGTCATAAAAAATAATGAAATCCTATCATTTGCAGCAACCTGGATGGAATTGGAGGTCATGTCAAGTGAACGTGCAGCACAAAAAGTTAAATAATGTGTGGTACATGGAGCTGAAGAATTGATCTCCATGGGGAGGACAGGACAGTGATAGTTACCACAAGTGGGAAAGGGTGTGGGGGAGAGGGGGTGAGAGGCTGGTTCGTGCGTACAAACACACAGAGGGATGCAGGGTGACTAAGGCGAACCTCAATGGAGTCTATATTTCTTTTTTTTTTTTTTTGAGTTGGAGTCTCACTGTCACCCAGACCGGAGTGCAGTGGCCGCTCCCGGCCACCGCAGCCTTGACCTGCTGGGCTCCGGCGAGCCTTCCGCCTCAGCCTTCCGAGTAGCTGGAACTACAGGCGTGCGCTACCACGACTGGCTGATTTTTTGATTTATTGTAGAGATGAGGTCTCGCCAAGTTGCCCAGGCGGGTCTCGAACCCCGCAGGCTCAGGCAATCTACTCACCTCAGTCTCCCAAAGTGTGGGATTACAGGCTGAGCCACCGAGCCCGGCTACTGTTATATCTTAATTTAGATAATTTCATGAATGATTACTTACGTGTCAGCTTAGGCATATTTGCAACATCATTCATAATCCTGGCTGGGCACAGTGACTCACCCGTCATCCCAGCATTTTGGGAGGCAGAGGCGGGAGAATCACTTGAGCCCAGGAGTTTGATACCAGTCTGGGCAACAAAGCGAGACCTCGTCTCTATAAAATAAAAAGTAAAAAAAGCAGCCGGGGGTGGTGGCATATGGCTGGAGTCCCAGCTACTTGGGAGATGAGGTGAGAGGATCGCCTGAACCCGGGAGGTCAAGGATACGGTGGGCCAAGATCGCCCCACTCACTCCAGCCTGGGCGACCCCGACTCGAAAAGAAAAAAAAAATCCCACAACACCAATGGATAAAGCCTCGAACTTCGTTTCTATGCGCTCCACGCGCTCCATTATCACCCAGGCCCCGGGCGCGCCTGACCAGTCTGCAGCGGCAGGACGTGTGACTGGGGTACCCTCCGGGGCGGGGTGGAAGAAAGGAA